ACTCCATGGGAAGCTTGCTTTGGAATATCTTATTCCTGAACTTCATGCTGGGAAGAGCAGCAGAGGTGAACTGACTAAACCCTCATTCCCTGCCCCCTGTGCCGCTGTGGGGGAAGGTAGAGAAATGAGGAGCAAAGTGATTTGAGCCTGGGAAGAAGGAAGGGGTAGGGGAAAGGTGTTGTAAGATGTGGTTGTTATGTCTACTCAGATGATTTGCAATGAATTAAATTGATTTTTCTTCCCTAAGTTTGAGTCTGTTTTGCCTGTGACCATAACTGGTGAGTGAGCCGCCCCTGTCCTTCATTCCTAATCGCATACCCCCTTTGTCATGTCTCCCATCCCATCTCACTGGGCTGGGGGAGTAAATGCGGGACCACATGGTCCCACTGTGGGTCAAACCACCACACTCAGATATTCTCACTCCTCTCTCTCGCTGCAATTCCACAGTCTTTTTTTTTCCCGTCTTAAATATGTTATCCCAGAGGTGCTACCACTGTTGCTGATGGGTTTGGCCTTGGCCAGCAGTGGGTCTATCTTAGAGCCGGCTGGTGTTGGCTCTGTTGGACATGGGGGAAGCTTCGGGCAGATTCTCACAGAAGCCACCCCTGTAGCCTCCCTACTACCAAAACCTTGTCATGCAAACCCAATATAGATGGGATAAAATGAATAAAAAATGAAGTTAGTAAAATGCACAGTTCTCAGTGATAGAGAAAATTAGAAAATGTGTTTGGTACAACCACCTCTTCATAGTTGTTGCTGAAGGAGTATCTTGATGTTTTGCTAAAACATAAATTGAAACATCAGTGCCTTTTTTCAGATGGTGGCTAATATCACCCTTCTGACCAAGCTATTTAATGTATTGTCTGATGGATGCTGAGAAACTTTGTTTGTTTTAAAAATTTGTGAGTTGCTTTTGAGCAAATCGATTTTTTTTTTCATATGTTGAATTGATGATTCATTGAGTCTTTAGTTTCCATATATCTGTAACATATTATGTTGTGATGTGCCAGATGGAGGAGCGCTTTGAATGGGGAGGGGTATTATTGGTGGACTTAACTCCATCTCTCCTTAGCTCCCTGCTTTGTTGTAATTTTTTCAATCCGAAGGTCACTGTAGTTAATGTACAAGTAGGTAGTGATGCACACCTACAGTTTATGGGGTCATGGTTTTATTTCACTTGTATATGGTTGTGCTAAATGCTGTACTATTTTTCTTTGCCCCTTACTCTCTTGATAGCCGTAACTTAAAGTTTATGTCATATGTACCAATATTTTTAGGATCCTAATTTATTGTGTAAAAGGGTATTTTCTTGTAAGACACTAGCTTGTGAGAAGCAGAATAGTGTCTTGCTGGTGTTCTACCAGCCCATACATTTTCACATAGTAAAACCAGCCTGCTTTGAGTTTGGTAAACTTCTACTTCTGAGCCTTCATTTACAAAATAAGACACTTAAAAAGGAACATAGGATCTTAAAGACAGAGATTCTAAGGAGAACACTTACAGATTGCTAAGTGTAGTCGCCTGCAGTGGCAGACAACTTGATTATAAAATACTGCTAATAAACTTACTAAATTCCATCTCAAAAATCGTTATATTATTTTCCCAATTGTTCCTGTTGGATGGCTGTGCTGAATATTATTCTCTGACGTGATTCCATTTTCCGTTGTAAATCACTTCTGTACTGAGGGGTTTTTTTACTTGAATGAACACTTTCCATTTGGTAAAAATGGTGGCAGTCTTTTGCATCTGAGAAATGTTTAGCTGTAAACTTTCTCAAATATAAGGAAAATATTAGGGGCAAATTCTTATAAATAAAGTCTGTTGGTAGTGGCAAATTCTGCAATACTGATGCTCAAATTTTTGTCCAGTGTGTGTTAATGATAAACAGTCTAATTTTGAGATGTGTATGCAAGCCTGAAAGTACAATAATTTGTTTTCTTCCCGCTTTCCAACATTTTCTTTCCAAATAATATTTTTTGTCCCAAGAGATGCTCCATTTTTTTAACATATTGTATAAACCTAGAACCTAACTGTGCATAAAAAATAGAGTTCTCTTAGGATTAGTAATAAGCCAACAATGGACTTTATATAGCCTGTCTGGGGCATGCAAAACACAAACTGGTTTTTGAGGAGAGAAAAATACTATATATGAAACAAAAAAAAGAAGATACTTTATTGTACACTGACAGGGTTTTAATATAACTCTAATTTCGGTTACACAAGATGAATGAAGCTCTGTCAGTGGCTGTGTCCACAATGTAAAGCAAATAAGAAATAGGCCATCTGCATAATCTTTGGTCTATTCTAGCTTGAGCTTTGGCACTAGACTTGGAAGATAGTTAGACTGAATAGCAGGTTTCCATAATGATGTGTTTTGGTAATTCCCTAACTATTCCTGCCTTCAGAATGAATTATTTGACAACTTTTGGCTAAAAACAATGCTTTTGAAACATAGCTCAGACTCTGTTTTTCAGGATAGCAAGTATCTTACCATTGGTTTTGCAAGGCTGGATAGTGCCCTGCTCACCTTTTGATGCTGTTCTATTTTTTGTTTGTTAATATATGAACATTTATTAGAGTCTGACTGAAGCCTGGTTGAGTGCTCTTACTATAGTAGTAAGGTATTGATTTTTATATATTGACTTGCTGCCTGATTTTATAATTGTGTAAGTATTCTATAAGAAATAGAACAATTTCAAGAGGAAAGACTGGTAAATGAGATTAGTCTTTTCTGTCTTTGCTTTCCTTGCTTTCAGTTTCATTCTCTTTCTTCCTTCCAGTTTCTTTTCATTCTATTCCCTGTCCTTTTCCCATTTATATTTTCTTTCTCTTTTTCATTCTGTCCCCAGATTCTTTCCTTGCATTATACTACTCTTCATTTTCTGACATCCCATTGATCTTCCAAGTCTTTATGGCTTACTTTCCCACCTCCACAAGCACACCCACAGGACGCTTAGAGATTTTACAGCATACCCAGTTGTCAAAAAATTAAACCTACAAGTCCCAGACTCATAATACTATGCTGGGAATGCTCATTAACTCCCACACTGTTTGGGAAAAGAAACTGGTACAGTTAGTATAAGGTCTGCAAACCATAATACATGCCTAATAATCCTTCACTTTCCACTAAACCTGGAAACTCCTTGTTGGAATTGGGGAGGGAGATGGGATCTGGCTTTTTTGCTTCAACTATGGTTTTGATCTTTGCAGAAACCCTAGAAAGAGTGACATGAGTATGTAGTTATAGTCCCATGACTTAAGAAGTATTAGATTGGAGGAGAATGCACTGTTATCAGTGTATTAGAAAACCTGTTGCAGTAGGTGGATGTACCAGCAAGTGGATCCTCAGCACAGCAGCCTCATCATAGCTTTACTGTTGTGGTATCAGTGCAAGTTCCCCACACCTGAGAGGCAGATGAGCACACCCGTGTTCTTTGACTCAAGAACATCTGGCTAAGAAAACTGTGACCTGGGGAAGATGAAGCAGGGTTGCATGGGTCTTGCAGTAGACCCTTTTGATGTTAGTGGGTACTACTGTTGCAGCTGCAGGAAGAGTGCAACGGTGTAAAGTCTCAGTGCCAGAGGAGAGTTGAACTGAGGTTTCTAGTGGGACGTGCCTGTGGTCGGTCTCAGATGCTTTTCTGCAGTCTGGGTGCCAGGATTTCTGCCAGACCATGTTCTTCACTGCTGGCAGAAGTCACTAAGAAGAATTACAAAAGACTGCATCTCTAATGTGTGTATGATCAACTGATCACCCCCTCCACTAATGCTAAATAAAAAAGCAGTATGCAGTGTATGGATGGCAGTGCTTAGTTTCCAAAGGCAATAATTTGAGGCTTTTCTCTTGCTAAATAGCACATATGTCAGTGTTTAGTGTTGCTCAGTGGAGTGATCATCAGATTTAATCTTAATCAAAGGTCTCTTAAACAACGGACCTGAACAGTTTTTGAATAGTTTTTGCTCTCCTGTATTTTGGAAAAGCTCTGAACAACACAAACACTTTTGCATTTTGTTGGTTTTTTTGTTTTTGTTTTTGTTTTTTTTTTTGTTTTTTTTTTCAAGCTTTGTAAATGATCACTATGTTGCTTTGCGGTCATTTCTGCTTTGAGGCAGATGAAATTATTTTCAGTGTTAGAAATAGAAATGTAGAAATACAAGCTTAAATTCTGCAGTAGTCAGTAGCAGGGGCTTGACCTGCTTGCCTCTGCTTGTCCTTGGTTAGTATTTTTTTTTTTAAGCCTGTATGACATTTAATTAACTGTTTGGCACTTAAATGACAGTACTGTAACAGCTACTGCCTGTTACAACAATATTACTGGCTATATCATAGCTGAATATAGCTGTACTGTAACTAATCTTGGAGTTATTGGATCAATCACGGGTAACCCACCCCAGGTTAGATATTACCAGCAGTGCTTCCAGTTCCTTTTTTTCCATCCTTCTTATTCAGAGGATAGCGCCAAAGGAAGTTAGGCAAAGCATTGCTAAGCAATCAAAGGAAATCAGTCCTCTCCTTTACACTCTGCTCTCTGTTATGCAATAAGGATGCCAGTTATTTAATGTTAAATTAAATGAATATAGCAGACTGAACTTAAAGATGAACTTGCCCAGTAATATGATGCCTCATCATGGATAAAAAACCCCTATGGTACAGTTAAAGATAATTATTTTAAAAAATCTTCTTTCTCTAGAATCCTACTCAAGTGGGAACTGCTCTTCAGGTTTTCCATAACCTTGGGACTTTGAAGGATACCATTGCTAATGTGGTGGACGGATACTGCACAGTCCTGGAGGAGAACATAAAAAGTGCTTTGGATATCAAAGTATTGACCCAACCATCTCAAACTGTCACAAGAGGTATGATACTTGTTTTATAGAGAACGATAACTGATTTTTTTGGCAGAAATAGAGTATATTGTCAAGTGGAAGGAAATCTCACATCCAAGCCTGTTATATGAATGTTTCCCTGCTTGCTTTAACTAGTGGAGGATGGGAGTAGGCATGTCTCAGAAATTATCTAATACAAAGCCAAAATTGGGTCTGTCTTTTGTTATTGGGCTCAGAAGTTTTTCTTTATTCCCTCCCCTCCTCTTTTTCCTAACTCATGCAGAAAATTGTCCTCATTAGTTTACAGCTTTGCAGCATTTTCTTAGCAGTTTGTCATGGAAAGATGAATCCAAGTTCAGGTTTATTTGTGTTGGTGGGAGGATCATGGATAGAAATTATTTGCAAGCAATGGAACAAGCCTAAAACTACATTGTGATGCTTTTGCCAGATGGAAATCTTTTCAAGGCAGTATATTCAATATGAAGGAATGTTGCACTATTAAACATTTAGTTCTTACATGTTAGCTCAGATACCAAAGAATACTGAGGAACTGTGCAGGCAGTTTGAAACTTTGACAATATGAACATTTTAAACTTTAAAAAACCCCAAAACTTTAACAAGAAGTTGGAGGTCCAAAACCATAATTACCATAATGTAATAAATAAATGCAGCTCTTCTCAAGGCAAGTGGTGGTTTAGAAGCTGCATACCCTTCAGCTGGAATATACCTTTTTTTTTAGCAGTTCATCTGTGCATTTAAGTCCTGAGCTGGTAACACTGGTATTTTTCAGAGCTACTGTCTCTGCCATTTCACTTTACATCCTACAACAGTGCTCATTGGCATTACCTTGGTGTTTCTGTGCAAGTCTGAATTGGTAAAGCGGGTAACAGGGTAACAGTGATGAACATTGAAGTATCCCCACTAAGTTTTAGTGTTTAGTTGACTTCTCATTTGTGACAACTGAGGGTATTCACAAAGCTCTGTTGTGAAGCTATTTTAGGCTGCTTTGATTTTTTATTAAAAATTCTTAAGTCAGAGTGCATAGAGATCTGTATTTCTGATATTTTAATTTTCATATATGAAAGCTGAAATATGCTGCTTTGTGTCTTAAAAAAACATTTAGGTGGCCCTGGTAGAGCTGCTATGCCAACACCTGGGAACACAGCAGCTTTTCGAGCAGCCCTGTGGACAAACATGGAGAAACTCATGGATCAGATCTGTGCAGCTTGTGGGCAGGTACTTGGCAGCTAATTCCTGTTTGTCTAGTCATGGAATTTTGCATATAAGATTTTAGAGGTCACTTTTTCTCTCAATAATACTTTCTTACAGGTGCAGCATTTGCAGAAAGTATTGACAAAGAAAAGAGATCCTGTGTCACATGTCTGCTTCATAGAGGAAATAGTTAAGGTAAAGTTTTAATTTAGCTGAATATGTTTTAGTAATTCTGTTAAGGAAAATGTTATGAGGGAATGTTTTTGTTTAAAATTTTACAGTTACATAAAAATTTTGTAATTAAATTAATAGGAAAGTGTAGAAAGTCAAACTAACATTGAAAGCTATATTTATGATCTGTGGGTTACATCTGTAGGGTATAAACGTTCTTTTTATAATAATTTCTTTTGTTTTCTTTAAAGGGAGCTGATAAGGCAGCACTGTCAGTTTTTATTACTGATCACTAATGTCATTGCATAAAATACTATGTGATTTGAGTAATTAATTAAGTCTGTTAGTTTGCATAGGAAAATGTGTCTTCATCTAACACTTTCAACCATCTGTTTCTCTACTTCTTGGCAGTTTCTTCCTTGAAAAATAATCATGGCTGTTCTTTTGAATACCTATTATTTTCCATTCAATTGCATTGTTTTCTGTTAATATTTGGAATAATTTGATTAATGGTCTTCTTCAGTGTTAGGAACAGAATTATTGAAGCTGTATCATCTACCTTAGTAGATGAGAAGAAACAAACAAAAGATATGTTTATACAGACATCTCCTTTTCCAAGTATATGGCTGGGTTTTTAATTTACATTAATTTAATTTTTGAAATATGTTGGGGAAACTCTTCATATGCAAATGTGGTCTCCTCAACAGCGAAAGCAAATAATGAAGGTTAAATACAGCATTTAAGTTTATCTGTCTGTTAAGCCCAGCTCCAAAAGATGTTGCACAGAACATCACTTTTCAATGAAACATGTCAAGCTTCTCTTCCTGTGTTGTAAAAACAAACACAAAACATCTCAAAAAGTTTATAAACTTTTAGTATATTTTCTTCATTAAAAAGTTTGATCTGTCAAAAAATATCTATTACTGCCTGGGTGGAGCCCTTCAGTAAATCAGCATGTTTAAAGAGAAACATAGAAACCTAGAGACAGAAGGAGGAACTCTGGAAGGCTCAGGAAGAGTTTGGATGGAAAGGGAGTTTAGATAAGTCAGCTTTCAGTGTTCATGAGTGGCTCCCACCCTGAACCGGTGCTTCTCACTTTCACTCTTCTCTTTTGTAGAACAGCATTTGAAAAGGGAATAGGAGTTTTTCCAGTTGTCAAGGCTGATAGTAGAGGAAAGCTCTTAACTTTTATCCTAAAAGAGGAAATCTTTTATCATCCTGGGGAATAAATAAACAGGGAAAATGACTCTCAGTAGAAGCTAGATGTAGAGTAGGGAAAAACTCATTAGAAAATAAAAGGCTGCTGAGTTGTCACTTGCTAAGCATGTTCCATGATCACCCTGATTACCTTTCCTTCCCTTTGACTTCATACTGCAGGATTGTATCTAAGTGACATATTTTATTTCACAAATAAAGTCCATCTGTTTGATTCTCCACAGTTCTCAGTCTTCCAATTAGTTTGCTCTTCAAGAGGTGTTCTAGTGTAGTATAACACCAGGCTAGACATTTGTCATTCTCAGTGAGGCAGGTAAGGAGTAGTGGTGCATTCTTGTCTGATGCTATCAGAGCTCTTTCAGCATGCCACGGTACTGGTGGCATGATAGCACTGATAGCACTGGTGCTTTACTTTCTTCTTACCTGAGATGGTTCAGTGTAGCACAGTGGTTTTTTTGACCCTTCTCACAATTACACCATTTGTTCTAGTGACCCTTGAAAATGGTATGGCACCAGCCTGCAGGTGGGTGAAGTCACACCTAACAGTATAGCTGTTGTTTAGACAAAACCAGAGAAGTACTGCATGCTGCTGAAATTCAAGAATGTATTTACAGATGGCTGTATGGGAGAGTATGAATTGTGTACATTGAAAATAGATACAAGCAAGAAATTGGTACTTTGCCATTTACTAATGAAAATTCCATCTTGTATTAATCCAAAATGAAACAACATGCTTTCCTCAGCAAGTGTTCAGGAGGGGGAAAAAAGTTAAATTTTCTGTATTGTTTTCAATTTCGTTAATAAACTGAGTAAATGAACAAAACAAACTAAAGGTACTAACATTATACCCATTTGCTAGGGCAGCGTGCCCACGCCAGAAGACAGGAAAACGAATCATCCACTTTACAGTCTGTGCACTAATTGCTGTTACTGATGTCAACATTATTATTATAGTCATCTTCTGCAGCAGCTGCAGTACCACTTTGCCTGTCCATCTGCTTCCTTGTTTTGATTACTGCAGTGGAAGTGTCATCCTAGGAAGCATAAGAGAGGAGGAGACCCAGCCTTTTTAAAGCACAAGTCCTTTAATAGCAAGGAAGCTACTTGCCTCTTTTTTTTTTTTTTTTTTTTTTTTAAATCATTCTCTTTTTTTCCATTGGGGATTTTTTTGTCTTTTTCTTCACAGATAGCACAGCCTACATTTTTTTTTCTAATTTTGTATTGTGATCTCAAATATGTGCTTTCCGGCCTTTTAATTACCTGTTACCATAATAATTTTTAGCAGTGTTGTATCATGTTGTATCAAAAAATGTAGTTTTAAAAACACTTAACTAATTAATTAAAGGATTCACAAAAACTCTCTCTTTAAAAAAAAAAAAAAGAGGAAACAAAAATTGGAGAAACTGAGGCATAGGACTTGTAAGATTTATAAATACTGGAGTGCAGCAGCAGGGTAATGACAACACCCGCATCTTTTCTACAGTGTCTTTTCTCTTATAGAATTAACTTCCAAGTTTTTCCACCATTAGGTGTGGCAAAGAGTTAAGTGATGTACCCAGGTTTATCTGAGTATCATGGAAGAATCTGGAGATGAAATTTACTCTGCCTGTTATCCACTCCTTTCCTTTGCAGTTCTAGGTTTTGGTGTTTTTCATGTGCCACAATATGAAACGAATGCAAAGGATTTTCCTGTCCATGTTGAAAAGAAATCATGCATTCATAGTACATTGTAAAAACTGTTACATTTCGTTCTAGTAATGAACTATAGATTCATTATTAATCTGTAAATATTAAAATTAAAGATTTAATTTCCAAGAAAGATCTAGAGATATTTAAATTAGAAATAATTTTATTTTAAGACTGAATGGGCATTTTAATGGTTTTATCTAAGCAAAAGAAAGGCCTTTAATGACTAGATTTTAGTTGAGGAGCAATGCTAAAAGAATTCAGAATTTGTTAAGTTCTAATTTCTAGTTTTGAGGAAGACAAATAGAGATTTAATTTTATACATTTTTTAAAAGGTAAGGTTATTGTTTTCATAATGTTAAGGGTAAAAATTAAAATTACAATTAAAATTTAAATAATGTAAAATTGATATTTTTGTTCACCTATTGACTATTTATATAATTTCTTTCAATTGCTTAATTCACCTTCAGAGGGCTAACAAGTTACTCCAGTTTACTCTGCTTTATTGCTTCTCTCTTTCAGTGTGTAGTGGTTAATCCTGCCTCAGCTGTTGTAATACCTAAAATACTATTGACTTCAATGTTAGTCACAGCAGAAAATACCTTTATGTGACAACCACCTTCCTAATCAGAGATAAGAATGCCTCTAAGCCCCTTGTAAAAGAATTGAAAATGATCTCTGATCCTCATCTATTTTGGGTCCTTCACTCCTACATAGCCTTCAGGGAACAGTTCTGCAGAGTCAGAAGCAGCCTTAAAAGCAGCAAATCATTATGTCAGGGGGTTTGGAGGTGGTCAATAGGAAGGGTGAGCTGGGGTCTCTCGGCTGGGCAGAAGGGTACAACCTGTGAGAGGACAGATCTGCCCTTGATCGCCTTTTGATCTGCTGACATCCCACTTGGTAGCAGCTAAGGCGCTGCAAACCCTCTCATTTACATAAGCCTCTGGGTAAAAAGTGTTATTATGTACTTGGGGAGGGCTCTTATCATTGCCTCTCCTGATGAACGTTTGGTGAGTAAGCAGGCTATTTTCTTGAGCTGTCAACACTGGCAGTGTGAGGTGTTAACGACACAGAAGGAAATGTCTTCATCATTATATAAGATAAAGAAAATAAATGGAAAATATAAATGTTTGTTGCCCAAAGTGCACGTACATTTCACCTTCTCATTTCTCCTCCCTATACAAACTTGTTAAAAAATGTTACTGCTTTGAAATTATTCACATCTAGCGTCACATATTCACATTCAGTTAACCCAATTAAAAATAATCTCAAGTGGAAAAAACTAAAAAATAATCTAATTACTGCTTTATGTGAGTTCAGAAAATAATCTGTTTTTCACCTATTATTACAAGTATGTGGTTTACTTCCCAGTATTTTTTTGTGGAAACTGAATTGGATTACTTGTACATCATTTCTACTGTGGTTTCTGTTTATTATTTGAGCAATAACGAGGTACTTTGTGGAGATCTAAACACAGATGAATGAGCAGGTTTTTCATCCCCAAAATACTGAAGATGCTCTTTATTTCAAACCTACAAATGGTCCAGCTGAATTCAGTTGCAAGATTTTTGTGGCCTCTCTTAGAAAAATGAAAAAATCTTGCCAGTTAAAGGTCCTGATTCTAGTTTTGGATGGATCAGTGTGTCTGGACAGCTGTGCTTAAAAGTAACTTGCTTCTAATTCAAATGGGAGGGTCAGAGCCAGCGCAGTGGTTTTCTAGTGACACTGTTTTCTCTAGAACTTTAATTCCGTTTCTCTGACAGAAATGTGGAGCCATAAATAAAAGGGATGGGGGGGAGGTTGTGTGGGTTAGTAAGTTATATCGACCTTTGTTCTTTTTCACTTCTGGTTTTGTGGGGTTTGTGCAAATTGCAGTTTGATGATGATTGAAAATTATTAAGTCAGATGGTTTTCAGTCAGCTTGCTATTCAAAAAGAAATGCATTTACCAGAAGTGCCGCCTTTCATTGTGATTCTTGTCAGTCTTACCTGAACAACTATGAGCTGAGTGGACGTGGTAATGAACCAGGCTTTCATCCTTGGGTAGATATGTAGTAGTGAAGGTGAAAGCACAGTTTG